AGGTACTTATGGATTTTTTCGATATTTCCAGGTTGAAAAATGTAAAATAGAAAATTCGCATATTTTTCTCCTAGGTCAACTGTTTTCGATGCATTTGTTTTTTTTTTTTTTTTTTTTTTGTGGGACTGGAACTGGGTGTGGAAACCAGGGGTTCTTACCCACTGAGGCACATCCCCAGCCCTTTAAAAAATACATTTTGTTTAGAGACAGGGTCTTGCTGAGTTGCTTAGGGTCTCACTAGGTTGGTCTTGCGATCCTCCGGCCTCAGCCTCCTGAGCCAGGGATCACAGGGCTGTGCACGGTGCCCATATATCTTACTCTTTATATGTGACAATATCATTGTTTTCTGTTTTAGTTTTCAGGGCCATTTTGGATACAGACATCACGACCCTTCACCTGTAAACACTTGAGCATGATCTGGAAAGAACCAGAGCAGTCCATCCACAGCCCTGACCACAGCCTTTGAGGCTGGCATTTCAGAGCCCCCACGCACACACTCCCAGGGGCAAACTGTCCAGTGAGGCCCTGTGCGGGCACCCTAACCCTCGCTGGGGACCTGCCTCAGCACATGCATCAAGGACTTTGCGGCCCCACGTTTCTGCAGGTACCTGCTTTTCTCCTAGCAGATGGCTGGGTGGCAGGTCATTTAATTCACACAGGGTGGAGGTGATCCAGGGTGGACTTCAGTCCCTGCCAGGCCAGTTCTCTCCTGTTCACCTTTGCTTTAACGTGGGGCCCTTGCCCCAGCTCTGACTTCCGTCCTGGGGTCCCCGTGAAGCTGCCCAAGCTCCACGCAGCTTCTTCTCATACCCGATCCGGAGCTGGAGCCCGGGTGCGAACGCTGGCCCTGCTGGCCACGCTGGAGTCTCCTCCCCAAGCCGGCGTGGTCAGATCCCTGCTTGTAAGCCCTGCTCAGAAGACACTCCGCCCTGCCCCACGTGGGTTTTCACCTGGATTCCTGGCTGCTAGCTCAGTTCTTTGATGGTCGTGAGTCTGTTTTCCAGTTTCACACGGTTCACCCCGTGTCCAGGTGGGGCTGCCTGCTGCACTTCCCTCTCCGTTCTCCGCCTCTTTCAGGCCTTTCAGTTTTTTAATTTAAAGGGGTTTTTAGAATTGATTTTTGTATTTTATTTTCCTCCCTTGATGTTTTGGAATTTATACATTGTTTTTTCTCTTTTAAATGGCTAATTATGACATCTTACCTTGAAATTTTAAGAGGATCCAGTGTTAAAAATATGTTAACCTCCGCCTGCCAAATTAAAAAAAAAAAAAAGTTCCCAGAACTTTGATCCCTCCTTCCGATTCCGGCTGCTGCTGTCTGGGTATTCAGATTCTGTTTCTAATCCTTCCTTCCTTCCTTCCTTCCATTGTTGTATACAATGTTCCCTTGGATTGCTACATGTATCAGGCTACTCTTGTGGGGAAACTTTCATGCTGCAGAACCTGTCTCAGAAATACCCTGGGTACAGGCATCTTGGGGAAACTGCCAGTGTTCTTCCATCTCCAAGTATATTGATCCAACCCACCCCCCCATTAGTCCATTTTATGTTACTACAATGAAATACCCAAAGCTCAGTAGCTTTATAAAGAAAAGAGGTTTATTTAGCTCCTATATTTGGAGGCTGTGAAGCAGCATGACACTGGCTCTGGTGAGAGCCCCCTGGCAGATGGCAGGGATGCCTGTGGGAGTGAGAGATCACATCTCAAGACAAGAAGCTAGAGACATTGGGATCCCACAATCCCTGGGGAGGGCAGCGCCCCAGCATCTAGGATCCACCTCTGCAAGGTCCCACCTCCCACATCACCACCCTGAGGATCAAGCTCCCAGCTCCTGGACCGCAGGGTGGTGAGCTGCATTGTGCCCCAGCACCCCACTCCTGTGGTACTCCCACCACCGTGCAACGGTCCTGGCTTCCTGTCCCCACTGCCCCTGTCTCCTTCGCCGCTGTCAGTCAATGGCCTTCCTCTGCAGGTGACCTGAACTTTTCTTCTGGTTCCTCTTAAAATCTTGCTGCGACCTTTCTTGGTTTCCAGTTCTGCTACAATAGGTCCAGGTGAGAGTCACCTCTTATGGATTCTGCCCGGCACATGTACTTTCTGCTTCACAGGCTTAAGTTTCACATGAGTTACTGCTTAGCTTTTTTCCCCCCAGTACTAGGGATTGAACCCAGGGGTGCGTTACCCCTGATCTACACCCCAGTCGCTGTTGTCCCTGCCGTCCTCGTCGTCGTCGTCCTCCTCCTCCTTCTTCTTCTTATTTTTATTTATTTATTTATTTTTTTTTTGAGATGGATCTTGCTAAATTTCTGAGGCTGGCCTGGAACTTGCAATCCTGCCTCAGCTTCCCAAGTGCTGGGAACACAGGCCTGTGTGGGTGACGCTCTACCTGGCATGGCCCAGGACTCTGGTGGGACGCCTCTGCCTTCTTCTCCATGCTCTCAAAGTCTCCGCCACCATCTCGGTGCCCCTCTGCCTCTAGGTCAGCTCTCCAGACCTGTCTGCCCAGTAGGCCTGCCCCAGCTGTGCCCTGAGCTCCCTGCCAGGGATGTGCTTCACCCCAGGATCCATCCCTTCCCAGCACCTGCTCTGCCCCATGTCCCTTTTCTCCATCAACCTTCCCTTTACAGCTGTCCTGGTGACCCAAGATTTAGAATCACTGTGACCTTGGCTGGCTCCAGGGATGAGCTCCTGCTGTCTGGGGAAGGGGGCAGGGAGGGGTTTTTCACCCTGTCATGAAACCTGACTGCTGAACTGCCCGTTGCTATAGCCTACCTGCTTGTGTCCGAACTTCAGATCTTAAGCTTTACACACCTCCGAGCTTACCTCCCCAGGACATCAGCCGGCTCATCAGCTGTGCATTAGAAGTAGCCACCTGACTGCTCAAAGGCAGCGCGGCCTCTGGCCACACCTGTTCCGATGCCCCTCTGAATCCTTCTCACCCCCACCTCCAATCCCTCAGGCCTCGCAGTGGGCCAGCCCCTGCCCTGCTCTAGGACCCAGTCGCTCTTGGGCCACCCGCCGAGCATGACTGAGACGCTCTCCCAAGGCCACCGCCCTCACAGCAATGCGGGGTGGCAATGCGGGGTTCCGCAGGGACACAGGGGACCTCCGTAGTGCACCAGGAAGAGGGCCTCCAGCCGCCGCCCCTCCAGGCCGCGAGGCCCCGCCCTCGGCCTCCGCCGCGGCGGTCACGTGGGTGCCCCCCCCCCCCCCCCCGCAGGCGGAACGGCTGGTCTGACCCTCTGGTCCTGCAGGTGGGGAGCCCTCCGGCCGGCGCCTGCGGCCATGAGCCCCCGCGCCGCGCGGCTCGCGGTCCTGGCCACCCTCCTGGCCACCGCCCTGGCTGAGGCCCCGCACCTGGTGCGCGTGGACGCGGCGCGCACGCTGCGGCCCCTGCGGCACTTCTGGAGGAGCACCGGCTTCTGGTGAGCCACCCCGCGCGGGCCGCTGAGGCCCGGGAGGCCCCCCAGAGCAGGGCGCCCACCTTGCTGCTGAGGTCCCCTGTCGCATCTGGGGAAACCCTCGGGCTCACGGCCCTTCACACTGTGGGCCCTAGGGAGTCAGGACCCACCAAGCTACTCCCTCTGTGGCTCAGGTGGGGGTCTCCTCTCCTCTCCCCTCCACTCCACGTTTGAATGGGTGCTCTCTGTGCTGGATATCTGGGGTCAGCCCTGAGCTTTCCCTGTGGCCAGGAGTCTGAAGAGTCCTGGTGGGTACTTAGGCTGTGGGCTCAGGATGCCCTCTTCCTGACTCCCCAAAAGGGCAGCCCAGCGGTTTGGGGGCTGACTCCCACCCCTGGGTGATACCGGCCTCCTCCTTGGAGAGCTGAGACCCTTCCCTGTCTGGCAGGGCGAGAGTCCTGTGGGAGCTCCCAGCCCACCAGGACAAGACCACATGGCATTCCTGGTGGAGGGGTCATTTTGTCACTCACTGGACGTACAGGCACCATGTCTACTGGGCGGGCCTGGGCAGGCAGGGCCAGATGGGTGGAGGCTGCTCCACTGTAGCCCCCAGGGTGAACACAGAGTACCTTGTCCTATCCCCAGTCCCCCACTGCCACATGAGCAGGCTGCCCACTACGACCTCAGCTGGGACCAGCAGCTCAACCTTGCCTACGTGGGTGCTGTCCCTCATGGTGGCATCAAGCAAGTCCGGACACATTGGCTGCTGGACCTCATCACAGCCAGGTGGGTGATGCTGGGGCAGGCATACTGGGCTGCTGGCCAGAGCCCACCTTACAGAGACACTGAAGAGGTAGGCCTGGTCTTGTGGGCCAGCTGTGGAGGACAGTGCAGGGCAGCGGGGAATGGCATCATGGGGAACAGAGCTGGGGGCTGCTCTGAAGACACATAGCCCTGCAGAGGCATTCCTGTCAGAGCCTCCACTGGGGAAGGCAGGAGGGGGACATCCTGGCTGGTAATGCTGGAAGCCCACTGTGTGCCCAGAGGCCCTGGATCCCTGGAAGGGGCATAGCTGGGTTCGCCCTGGAAGTCACTTTGGAGGTTAGTATCTGGCTGCATTTGCTGCACCTGGTTCTTGTGTGAGGACAGGTGCTCCAGGCTGTGTGGCCATTGGCAGAGCTGTGCAGGGACAGTGCACCTGAGGGCTGGACCAAGGTTGCTCTCCCACTTTGTCCCTGACACTGTACCAGCCATGCAAGTCTTGGCCAGGGGTGAGCACCAGGTGTGAGCAGCACTTGGGTATGGTGGCCTTCCAGAAATAGGCCCTGGTGCCCATGGTCCCTTGTCCAGCTCCTCCCTGTGAGGCAGGGGCTGGGTAGGCCCAGGGATGGGGTGTCCTTTTGACGCCTTGAAGGCCACACCATTTGTGGGAATCTGTTCAAATCAAACAGTGACATAGAGTGTCAGACCGGGCATGGTCTCTCTGAGTTTGGGCCGAGGGACCGTGTGTGTTGCTGGCACCAGGGTGGCAGCACAGGTTTTAGGCAGAGCGTGTGGGGTTCTCATGTGTGTTCGAGTGCTGCCCTTTCCCTTTTCAGTTGAGGTTCCCTGGCTTCTCCATGGCAGAGGTGGCCCAAGATTGCATCCTTGGGTGACTCTAGCCCTTGGCAGGCTCCTGGAGAAGGAGCTCAGTGATGGCTGATGGGGGGGGGGTGGATGCCAGAAGACCCTGGCCCTGCTAGAGGGCAGAGTCAGGAACCACGAGCTCCCCACGGCGGGCACGGGCGGCCTCCACAGCGCTGTGCACGCTGGGGAACAGCTGCTCATCCTCGGGGCCCTGGTCCTCACCGAGGAAGCCCCCTCTCTTCAGAGCATCCCTCACCGAGGGGTTGCAACAGGCCAGAAGCAGGGTGACCCCTAGGGCCCAATAATCACGGCGCAGGTCCTTCAGTGTGGCCATGCCAGCCACATCCAGGAACAGCAGTGGGGCACAGTCAATGACCACCGTGTGGAAGCCAGTCACCATGGGCACCAGCCTGGCCCTGCTGGTCACTGAACCCAGGTCCTTGCCATCAACTGGCTCTCCCTCTCCAACCCCCATCTCTGAGCCTGGCTCCCTCCTTGTGGCAGCTGAGCGCCCCGCATCCAGCCCAGTAAGGCTGTAGAGTGACCGCAGGAAGAAGTCCTTGTTGGCATAGTAGAGTGGCCCTGCAAAGCGGAACACCTGCACCCCGGGCTGAGGCACAAGGCCCTCGAACTCCGTGGCATCCTCGTAGAAGGCTGAGTCCCCAATGCGGGCCAGCAGGGCCGCCCGAGGGCGCTGTGTGCGGCCTGCCAGGCTGAGCAGCGAGAGGAGCACCCCAGCGAGCAGCCCGGCCTCAGTGGTGACTAGCACGCAGGTGGCCGCAGTGGCCACCCACACCAGCGCATCTGCTGGGCTCAGCCGCCACAGCCGTGGGAGGCCCCTCACCTTGCGCAGAGCTCCCCGCAGGCTGACGACGATGATGCAGGCCAGCACGCTCCGCTGCAGGTCCCAGAACAGTGGGGCCAGCACCAGCAGCACTAGCAGCACCACAGCAGCACTGACCACACTGGAGAGCTGGGTCCGGCAGCCGGTGGCTGTCTTCACCAGGGTCTTGGAGAGCGCTGCGCTGGTGGCAAAGCAGTGGAAGAAGGCGGGCAGCACGTTGCAGCAGCCCACGGCCAGGAGCTCCTGGTTGGCGCGGACGGAGTAGCCATGGCTACGGGCAAACATCTCCGCCAGCGAGATGGAGAAGGCCGAGCTCACCAGGGCCAGGGACACTGCGTCCAGCGCCACACGCTGCATCAACCTGGGGTCTGGTGCCTGTGGGGCCACAAAGCCAGTGGGGATGTCGCCCGCCACGCTGGAGCCAAAGCGCCTGTGGAGCTGCCCAAAGTGAGAGACCAGGGTGGCCACCACGATGACCAGCAGCTCCGTGGGCAGCGGCACCTTCAGGCGGTGCCGGCAGCGGTCTGAAAGTTCTTTAGCCGCTAGAAGCACTGCCAGGCACACGGCGCTGGTGGCCACGTCACACAGGTTGGCCTGCGCCAGGCTGCGCAGCAGGCTCAGCCACGTGCTGATCACCATGCCTGGGCCCTGGTGCCGGGGCACCCGCACGCCCAGCATGTGCCTGAGCTGCGAGGTCAGGATCGTCACGGAGGCCCCCATGGCAAAGCCGTCGAGCAAGGGCTGAGAGAGGTAGGTGGACACGAAGCCCAGCCTAAGGACGCCCATGAGGACCTGTGGACAGAGTGCAGTCAGCACGGAAGGCCCAGGCAGAGACCTCGCTGCCTATCTGCGGCTGGCGCAGCCTGTGACCTGCTGCCTTCCAGAGTGGGACCCTCCTTTGGCCCCTGTGATCTGGACAGGCGCACGCCAGCAGACCTCACACACATGGTGTTGCGTGTCAACAGGTGACTGTGGGTGTCATGTCTCACCTGCTGCTACCGGAACTAGACTTGTTCAGGGGTCACGGCTCTGGTGTCAGAAGGCAGCCCCTTCCTTCTGTGTCCTGCCCAGGCACAGCCCGCCCCCTCCCAGGCAGGGAAGGGACCACAGGAGGGACCAGGCAGACAGCCTGGGAAGGGGCAAATGGGGGTGGGGAGGCCATGGGAAGCACCCCCACCCAAGCTCACCTGGGACAGGAGACCCAGGAGGCCGTGGGGCTGCAGCGCAGCTGTCTCAGCTACAGCCAGGCTTGGCCCAGCAGCCCCACTCACGCTGCCACTGGCCAGGCCAGCTGCTCATGCCCCTCCTGTCTGCACCCACAGCCCCTGGGGTCCTAGGCATGGGTCACCCTGTGTGCCCACCTCTGCCCTTGCCTTGCCCTGCCCTCTAGGAGGCCCTGGCCTCAAGGTGAGGTAACCTCTCTGGTCCTGACCTGTACTCCCCACGGCCTTCCGTGGTGGGGGCAGCAAGCCCCTGAGCAGGAACAGCTGAACCAGCCAGCCCTGCCTCCCATGCAGCTCCTCACCTGGTAGATGCCAGCCACCAGCGTGAGGGCCGTGGCGACACGGATGGCGTGGCAGTCCCGCCCGCAGCCTGGTGGCCCCAGCACCAGGGGGGTGGTGGAGCTGTTGAGGGTGCTGCTGTTGCCCTGAGGCCCCAGGCCATCCTGGGAGGGGTCGAAGCCAGCCAGCTGGAGCTCGCGGTCCACGACCTGCCCCACCATGAGGCACAGGAGGCTGAAGATGCCCACGTTGACGTGGCGCGAGGTGCCCATGAGGAAGTAGATGAGGTTGGCAAAGAAGGATGTGTACAGGCTGTAGATGGGCTGCAGTCCGGCCAGCAGGGAGTAGGCAATGGCCTGTGGCACCAGGATGATGCCGATGACCAAGCCCGACATGACGTCGCCCGCCAGATCCTCCCGCGGACGGTACTCACGCAGCCAGCGTGTGGCGGGCACCAGGCTCTGCACCAGCGCCCAGGCTCGTGGCACACTGCAGGTGCAGCTCTGCCATAGCCTGGCCTTCAGCCTCTCCAGTAGACCCTTCTGCGCAGGGGGCTGCCGGCGGACTAGCACCAGCCCCCTGCCCTGCTGCAGGGACTCAGGGGCTGCCTCCATCCTGCAGCACCTGGCACCGCTGACCAACCTGCAAGGGAGAGTCGAAGTGGTCAGGGCCTTAGTCCCCTCATGGATCCAGGAGCCAGCGCCCAGCTGGTGCTGCGGGTCCACCGGGCAGAGGGCAGGGGTTGCCTGCCAACAGCAGGCCCTGGATGGAGGGATGCTGGGCCTCAGCTCCCACACCCTGTTTCTGGAGAGATGTGGGCAACAAGCCACGTGCCTCCTGGGAGCCGGATGATCTCGGAAATCGCCCAGAGACGTTCTGTCCAAGCTTGCCTGGCCTGTGGGCTCTGCAGTTCCTGCCCGAAATCCACCCCAAAGCATCCTGAAGGTCCTCCCCAAGGGAGAGGGAAAGGGCCTCCACCTGCACACAGAGGCCTCAGGCCCAAGGGTGTCAGCGGCAGATGTGGCTCAGCTGCCCTCGCTACTTCCCTTGGTCCATGGTTTGGTGAAGAGCCCTGCTGTCCACCCCAGACTCACACCCAGACCATCACCACTCTACAGTGGACAACACAGAATAGTGGGGCAGAGGGCCTCATGGATGCCAGGGACCCAAATCTGTGCCTCTCCCACCTGTCTCTCCAACAGCCCCCCCAGGGTCAGAGAAAGTGCTTAGAGACCCCACCAGGCCAGCTGGGACCGAGTTGAGGCAGCTGGCATCTGTCTCCCTGCCCAGCCAGCATGCCACTCCGCAAACAGCTGGCCTGGCCATCCCTGCACCTTCTGACCTGCCTGGGTGAGCGAAAGTGCAGGGTGTCAGGGGCGGAGCTTAGAGGCCACACTGACCACAGTTGCGACCTTGGGCCTGTCCTCCTCAGTCTCCAAAGTACCTGTTTTCAAAATCCCCTTCATGGCAATCTTAAGCAAATACTCTCTGGCCCTCAGAGCCCAGGGCACCAAGGCACCTGTGAGGAGCCACTGCTATGGCTGGCCCTGGGCACAGGTGCCTGCAGCCTCTGGGGAGAGTGGGGAGGTGGTCCTAGCCTGGCAGGCCACACGGTCCCCAGCAACAGTGAGAGCAGTGAGCCCTTCCTCCCAAGCCCCTGCCACAGGGGTCTCTGGCATCTCGGTGCTCACGCAGGTGCCTAGGGCCCAGGCATACAGAACGGGACTGCAAATGCTCCTGTCTTGCCCCCCAGTCTCTCAAGGAAACTGCGGGAGCCAAGCCTCCCTGCTCCTTCCTGGCTGTCCAGTGCCTCTGCCGTGGCAGGTGGTCGGGTGCAGGGATGATTCTTACCTGGCGGTGCCCACAGGCTTGGTGGCCCTCAGAGTATGGAGGGGCTGAAGCCTGCTGGCCGGCTGGCCCTCCAAGCCCTCTGGGACGGCGGGTCTGAGGCTGACCTGTGAGAAGCACTGTGTGTGTCGGACCTGCAGTTCAATTATTTACCCCAAAGAGAGCTGAGTCATGGGTTTCCCCCGGCCAGTGCTACCTGAGTGCTAATCCAGTGAGCCAATCCCGAGAGTCAGACTGTAATCGGAGCCTCACACATTATTATAGTTGTAGGGGCCTCCAGTGACCACCACCTTCTTGGGGGCAGCCACCCTGCTGGGAGGGGTGGGATGAGTGGCTGGAGCAGGGTGCCCAGTGTCTCAGACCTGGCCAGAGGCAAGCACAGCACCCCTGGCGGGTGGGGAGGCAAGGCCCCTGTCCAGTTGCTAGATGTTATCCATTCTGTCGGGAGCCTGGCCTGGTCCAAGCTGGAACAGGGGAGGCACAACAGCCAACTGGGCACAGTGTGACCATGTCCCCAACCTCTGTCCTGGGTCCCTGTGAGGAAACCAGACCCAGGCTGCTGGTGTGTGCACACATGTACTCCTATGAAAGGTGTGCCTCCTGTGAAAGGTGTGCCTTCTTGCCCTTGCCAGAGGGGGTCCTGGGTTGGCCCTGAACCCACCCAGTGTGTGACTGTGGGTGGGCTCCTGGTCCCCATGCAGCTCACCCTCTCCTCTGAAGCAGGGTGGGACCAACAGCACCTGCTTTGTAGGGCTGGTCTGAAGATAAGTGGCCCCTTAGAAGGGATTAAACCAAGTACTCAGGGAGTGGCCCAAAGTGAAGGAACTAAGGTGCGTGGCTGTCTCTACAGTGACTTTTCAGAACCCCAGGCCCCATCTGGATAGGAGTGGGCTTGTGGGGACGTCGCTATGTGTCAGGAGGCTTGGCTCCCTTCTGGGGCTGCGGGGGCTAGGTGCCCTTCCATCCTGCAGGGAGGCCCCACAGATTGTGGTAGGCTGCTCCAGTGGGACTGGGAGGTGCAGTTGGCCTGGCCTGCTGTGCCTGCGTGGCTCTGGGCCCAGTGAAGCCACCAGCTCGCTCTCTCTTCCCCCAGGAAATTAGGATCAACACATGTCTTGTACAACCAGCTGGGATCATGGGCTCCTTCCCGCCAGGAGGAGACAGTAAGATGTTGAGGTGGGAGCAGAGCCCCAGAGGGAGGCAGCTCCCAACCAGGGCCCACCCTGGAACCTCCTCCTGCAAGCCAAGCTCTGCTTCCTGATGCCATGGGCCTGGCCAGGGAAGACCAGCAGCCCTGTGTGGGGACTAAGTGGGTGTGGAATTAGGTGGGTGGAAGGAAGCCTGAGTGGGAGATGAGGTTAAGCTGGATACCCCACCTTTGTTACCATAGCTCCCGCCCATGCCCTCTCCAGATCTGATCCTGGGACCCTGCCCGGGACCCCGCCATCTCCCCTGGCTCTGCTGGGCCTCTGCAGGGGCTCGGCCTCCTCCTCCTGGACCCCAGTCCCGAGGGGCCCACTGTTTGCCCAGTGGTTGGGAGTGTGGCCTCCAGTGGGTGTGGTGGGGGTGAATCGCAGCATGCCTTCTAAGGCAGATAAGGGACCCTTCTGCTGTCCAGAAGGCAGCTACTGGGCGTCATAAAACTCTCATCTGCCCAGTTACCCATGGAGGGGCAGTGAAGAACTACCCAGGAGACCACCAGGGCTGAGTCACGTTCCTGGGGTCTCCCTGGAGTTGGCAGGATGGATCCTGGGTCCACAGGGCAAGGTGGGGGGTGTCACCTGGGCAGTTCAGAACAGTGTAGGGGCAGCCCCTTCCCCCTCTGTGGTCTGGCTGACAGGTTTCCGGCTCCCGCCTGCCCTGCCTGGTATGGGTGTCTCCGCAGGGGAGATGCAACTGTGGTCACACCCCCAGGCGAGAGAATAGTAGGACCCTTGGGACTTAGGGCTCCCAGCCCCCAGCCGCGGTTTCTCTGTGTTGAGGTCAGGACCACTCCCCACCCGCAGCGCGCCCATGAGACATAGGCTCCCTCGCTCTCTGCTGGGCCCACTCAGGGCAGCGACTTGTGGTCCGGCGCCTTCAGTCCGCCGGGACCCCGCTGCACGCCTGTCTCGTCCAGTGCGGCCGCGTGATTTCCTTCGTTTTATCCTTTAAGGTGCAGCGGGGTTCAGAAGACCCCAGCCGGGCAGAGATGCAGGTTCTCCCCGCCTCTGAGCTTGGGCGGCCTCTTTCCCACGCCGGGAGCGCGGCCCGGCTCCGCCCCGTTCCCCACCCTCAGGGCGCGCGGCCGCTGCCCACCCCGCGCGTCTCTCCCACGCTGCCATCCCACCCTCAGCGGAGGCGCGGGCGGACGAGCTCCCTGCCCTGACCCCCGCCGCACGCGCGGCCCCGCCCGCTCATCGACCCCCGCTGCATGCACCCCCTGCAGGCCGCCCACCCCTCCACCGTGCGGACGCCCCAGTGCATGCGCGCCCCCGTGCACGCTTCCCCGGCCGCGTCACCTCGCGCACCCGCCTAGCCCACCCGGGCCGGCCCGCCGTCACCCCAGCCGCGTGCACTCACCGCGCCGCAGCGGCTGCGTTCTAGCGGCGCACGCGCTCGGCCCGGGGGCGGGGGCCTGGGGCCCAACGGGCACCAGCGCGGTGAATGGGCCCTTGTGAGGCTCGGCGCGGTCCCGCGGGGCCTGGCGCTGTAGAGGGGCCTCTCGCTTCCTGGCCCCAGCTGGCTATGGCCCTGTGTGCTTTTCGGATCCCGGGTGGACCTCACCATTCGCCGGCCTAGTCCCTTCCCGAGTCTAGGCCTCTGGAATCCTGTCACAGTGGGGGCTGAGGCAGAGGGAGACTGACCCACCGAAAGTGGGGCCACAGGACAGGTCCCTGGGGTTGGGTCTGGGGCAGCCGCTGGGGCCATCTTGGCATCCTGCATCCCTGGCTGCTAGGGCCATTAGATCCTCCGGCCCGTCCCTGGAGTGGGCGCTAGGTGGGGTTATGGCCGCGGAGATCTGCAGAGAAAACGGGAGCGAGCCTGTGACTGTGTCCCCTCATGACCTCCAGGACTTTGGAACCGGTCGCTGTTAGCGACCGCGCATGAATCTTTATCCAAGTGCTTGTAACGTTTCATTTATTTGCTACTGACTGTGACCCTGCCTGAGAGCGCTGAGGTGGAGTGGGCGCAGCCGTCGGGGTGTCAGCAGATCCAGCAGAGGGAGCCCCAGGAGCTGGGCCTGTGGACAAGGACTGGGCCCAGGCTCTGCTCCAGGGTGTGCGGGAGGGGGAAGGATATGTGGAACCTGAAGAAGAGGTGCTGTCCCCTCCTGCTGGGCAGGGGTCATCACTAAGCTGTGACTCATCTGTCTGTGGTCAAGCCAGACTGCACTGTCTACCATGGTGACCTCACCTGCCTGCCATCCCATCCCAGACAAATCAGAGCTGTCTTGCAGGCCCTCTGGGGGCACATGTCCTTGGACCTGGACCCTAACCCTAACCCTTGGACCTTGGCTAGAGGGCTGCAGTGGACTCCCAGTGGGAGGACTAGTGCCTGGGTTGGGCAGTGGCAGACCTTGGCTGGCTCTCCTAACTCTTTACTGAGCAGCCCTCAGCTGGCCCCAGACCCCTGAGCACCAGCACCCTTACCTAGCCCCCCCCCCCAGGCGGCCAGTTTTCCACCACCAAACCCAGACCAGTTTCCTGTAGGCTCACCCTGCTCCTCCAAGCTGCTGTTAGAAACCTCACCCCACCCACTCCCTGGAAGCCCATCTGCTCTAGCCCCTCCCCTGGCCTTCCAAGCCACTGCCCAGCTGGGCACCCCTCCTCTTGCTGGGAGCCCCTGCAGCCCTCTAGCCAGTCTCTGGCTCCTGCTCTGACTCCAGTTCACTGCCACAGGGACCCTTCCAAAATGTCCCTGTGATGCTCTGCTCAGAACTCTGCAAGGGCTCCTACTTCAGTCCGTCAATGTCCCATCCTCACATGGGCACAAGACCCCCCAAAACACACCTTGTTCATTCTGCCTGAGCCCCTACCATGAGCTCACACCTACCTCAGGACCTTTGCATGTGTGTACATCACTGGCGTGTCCTGTCACCTGGCAGGCCTTTGATGTTACTCTGAGAGGTCCTCTCTCTTGACCCTTTGCCCCCTTTGCTCCCACTCCTGTCACATCCCTTCCAACAAACATCTGACAGCCTATTAAAGATCCACATGGTTGTCTGATGATACCCATCCCTCTTGAACCTGAGCCCTGTGGGAATTCGTTTGGACTGAGGGTGTGGGGAGATCCTCCACCTTCCTGACCTGCCCGTTCAGTTGCTTCTTGGGAGGATGGGAGGATGGTGAGGGTGCCAAATGTGGGGCCCTTGCCTCCAGGAGGTGCCGAGAACCAGGTTCTGCCTGGCACTGTACCAGTCCTCTGCTCCAGGCCAGCCATCCTCAGGACGCGCCCCCCCCCCAGTCCTGTTGTGTGGCTCCTGCCCGGCTTCCTGCCCCTCCACCCCAGGCTCCCATTTCTGAAAGGCCTGGACACATGAGGACACTGGTTGGTACCAGGCTGTGGGTGACTGACAGGCTTCCACAGTGTTGGTGTTCCAGAGGGACGGGCATGGGCACCCTGGAGCCACGTTCAGCCTGGCACCTTATCGTTTCCTCCCTGCCTGGGAGCGGCAGTGGTTCCAGCCCAGGGCTGCCAGATGCATGGCTGTCCCCAGCACCTCCTCTCCTTCAGCAAGGGGTCGGCCGGACAGGGCCTGAGCTACAACTTCACCCACCTGGACGGGTATCTGGACCTCCTCCAAGAGAACCAGCTGCTCCCCGGTGAGCAGGGACAAGCCCCCTGCAGACACCCTGGGTCCTCCCGGCAGTGGTGGCCTGGGCTGCCTTGGGCCTGGGTGGGCTGCTGGAACTGTGCAGGCAGTGGGGCAGCTGCCTGCTGTGTCTCAGGCTTTGAGCTGATGGGAAGCCCTTCAGGATGCTTCAGTGACTTTGAGGACAAGCTGCAGGTGGTGAAGTGGAGGGACCTGGTCTCTCTCCTGGCCAGGAGATACATAGGTGTGTGGGAGGGCATGCCCTGGGGCCCCGAGGCCCTCCTTCCCCTTCACCCAGGCCCCCTCCTGTCACGGCTCCTGGGCTTCCTGGGGTGGGGGCTCACCTTCAGCCGCTCCAGATCTCCAGTCCTGGGGACCCCTGGGAGGCGGGTGGCACTCACGCTCTCTGGATAGAGGTGGACACTCTGCAGGTAGGTACGGACTAGCGCAGGTTTCTAAGTGGAACTTCGAGACATGGAATGAGCCAGACCACAAGGATTTTGACAACGTGTCCATGACCACTCAAGGTGTGTGGCTTGCTGCGGTCCTACCATGTGGGGCGGGCTTGAGGGGGGCCCTGTGCCCACAGACCCTCCTGACCCCTGGACCCACGGGCTGCAGGCTTCCTGAACTACTATGATGCCTGCTCTGAGGGTCTGAGGGCTGCCAGCCCTGCCCTACGGCTGGGTGGCCCCGGCGACTCCTTCCACCCGCCCCCGCGGTCCCCGCTCTGCTGGAGCCTCCTGGGGCACTGTGCCAACGGCACCAACTTCTTCACTGGCGAGGTGGGCGTGCGTCTGGACTACATCTCCCTGCATAAGAAGGTGTGTGCTGTGCCCAGCCCCGCTCAGCCAGGCTCGCCGGCTGCGGTGCTGAGGCCGGTGCTGCCGTAGGGCAACGGCAGCTCCATTGGCATCCTGGAGCAGGAGGTGGCCACCGTGCAGCAGATCCAGCAGCTCTTCCCCACGTTCAAGGACACCCCCATCTACAACGACGAGGCAGACCCGCTGGTGGGCTGGTCACAGCCACAGCCGTGGAGGGCCGACGTGACCTACGCAGCCATGGTGGTGAAGGTGGGCCCACCCTGTAGCTGCTGAGTCCACCAGGCCAGCCAGCTGAGCTTCCAGGGTGGGGTGAGCAGGTGGCCCTCCACGACCCTGCTGTCCTGGGCCCCCGCAGGTCATCGCCCAGCACCAGAACCTGCTGGTGGCCAACGCCAGCTCCCCAGTCCACTATGCTCTCCTGAGCAATGACAACGCCTTCCTGAGCTACCACCCGCACCCCTTCTCCCAGCGCACGCTGACTGCCCGCTTCCAGGTGAACAACACCCGCCCCCCCCACGTGCAGCTGCTGCGCAAGCCAGTTCTCACAGCCATGGGGCTGCTGGCCCTGCTGGGTAAGCTCTCCTTGTTGCTCCTGTGTGTGTTCGCTCAGACTGGAAACAGGCCTGCCCCCTGGCATGTTCCCTCTGAGATGGGTAAGGCCAGAGAAGGCCCTGAGCCCCTGACCCAGGCTTTACCTAGTTAGGGTATCTTCCAGGGCCAGGAGTGTCCTGTACAAAGGCCCTGAGGCATGGGAAGCACACTTCCTGCTGTGCCTATGTCTTGGGGCTTAGTCCTCCTAGATTTCTGCCCCCATCCCCTCTGGTTCTATGGCCGAGAGGTGTGAGGACAGCAAGAGGAGGAGCACGTGGTGGGAAGGCAGGTGGAGGGGCAGCTACCCCACATGGTGACAGCCCCACACCCCCACCGTGGGCCCTGTAGATGGAGAGCAGCTCTGGGCAGAGGTGTCCCGACACAGGGTGGTGCTGGACAGCAACCACACAGTGGGCGTCCTGGCCAGTGCCCACCACCCTAAGGGCCCCACTGACGCCTGGCGTGCCACCATGCTGGTCTATGCAAGCGATGACACCCGCACCCACCCCAACCGCAGCATCCGCGTGACACTGCGCTTGTACGGGGTTCCTCCCCGCCCAGGTGAGCGGTGCCCAGGGAGGGCAGGCTGGAGGGGGCGGGGCAGGTGAGATGAGCCCCAGCATCCCACCCCACAGGGCTCCTCTACGTCACATACCACGTGGACAACCGTCTCTGCAGCCCCCACAGCGAGTGGCAGCGCATGGGCCGGCCCGTCTTCCCCTCCGCGGAGCAGTTCCGCCGCATGCGCTTAGCTGAGGTTTGTGGGCCCTGGGTGTCGCCGAGACCTGTGGTCAGGGGGGCTTCTCTCACCTGGGCCCCTCTGTTGTCCCCAGGACCCTGTGGTTGCAGAGCCGCGCCCCTTCCCGGTCGGCAGCAGCCTGACGCTGCATCCTGAGCTGGCGCTGCCTTCGCTCCTTCTGGTGCACGTGTGTGCGCGCCCCGAGAAGCCTCCTGGCCAGGCAAGTGACACCCCTGCCCCGCCAGCAGCTGCCCACTCCCTCCACACCCTGCCATAGCCCCTCTCTCCCCGCAGGTCACCCGCCTCCGTGTCCTGCCCTTGACCCGAGGGCAGCTGGCTCTGGTCTGGTCGGATGAGCGCGTGGGCTCCAAGTGCGTGACTGGGGCCACTGCCCCTCCTCAGGGCTGCCCTGCCGAGGCCCACCTGGTGTTCCCCCTGCAGAGCTCCCAATGCCCTCCACAAGGCAGACCCAAAGGCCTGTCCTCTGCCCTTCAACGGCCCCATCGCACATGCGCTCCCCTGCACACAGCCACCCTGGACCGCTCACCTGTCTTGGAGAGCTGGCTGGGCCCCTGCAGGGGACACTGAGAGCCATAGCTGGGCCGTTGTCCTCTCCCCTCAGCTACTGTGGCCTGTCCCTGTAGGAAGAATGCCCAGGGCTGCTGGACTGGGGAGATGCCAGTAAGGGGCTGGAGGGCTGTGGACACACCCTACCCTGCCCACTCAGACCTCAGGGGCCACCCTGACCCCAACCTCCCCAGGTGCCTGTGGACTTATGAGATCCAGTTCTCCCTGGATGGTGAGGTGTACACCCCAGTCAGCAGGAGGCCATCCACTTTTAACCTCTTTGTGTTCAGCCCAGGTACACCTAACGCCCACTGCCCTGGGTTTCAGCACACCACTGGGTGCGGTGGGGCAGGGGGTTTTGGGGAGTCTGGGTGGGTTCAGGTGGACACATGCTCAATAACACATGTACCTTTGTGTCTGCAGAGACAGCTGTTGTTTCTGGCTCCTACCGCGTGCGAGCACTGGACTACTGGGCCCGGCCGGGCCCCTTCTCCGACCCCGTACCATACCTGGAGGTCCCTGCCTCATGAGGGACCCATGAGCCTGGTGAACTGCTGGCTGGTCATAGGGTGCCAGCTCCTTTTGTCTCCCACCTCACAGTTTAAAGAGCCTTTCTACCTCACAGTGTTGGGTCAGCTTCTGGACGGACACTGGGTCAAGTGGGGACTGGCACCAGGGAAAGAGGACAGGGCTGGTGGAGAGCAGGTGGAGCCTGGCCTTTGCCTGCCTCCTCCCAACAAGGACCCCACCCCACCAGGTGGAGCTGCTGGTGAGGGCTACCAGGTGGAGATGCCTGTCCTGCCCACCAGGTGTCCTGGTGTCCCCCTGGCGAGGAGCCCCACTCCTCCCAGCATTCCTCCTCATTCTGCAGAATGGGGCACTGAGGCTACTCCAAGGAGGAGCATCTGCAGGATGCTGCAAGGAGGGTGGGACAGGGCATCCCTGCCCATGCCAGACTGTGGTCAGCAGCAGGAAAGACTGCTGTCTCCACCTCCCCAGGTCCTCTGGGCCCAGGAAGAAACGAGTGAGGACACTCACTTTGCAGAGATGCAGGTGGGGGCAGCTGCCGAGCAGAGGGGCACCAGCAGGTCCAGACAGAAGGCTGCAAAGAAAGGCCACTGTCCAGGAGCAGCGAGCTCCACCGAGGGACGTGGCCCCGCCCCTCTCCAGTGCCACTATGGCTGTCTTTGGCTAAGAGAGCTGTCTTCAGTGGAGGACAGAGGCGTGGGAGCCAGCGTGTCTTCTGGGGTTGTCCTGCAGCTAAGTGCAGAGCTCGCGTCCAGGCTGATGGAGGGCTCAGCAGTGCTCCTTCCCCAGCCAGGTCCCATGGCCAGCCATGCCTGGGGTCGCTGTGTCCCCACCCTCCAGGCCTCTTGACATGTCGCCTTTGGCTCTGGCTTTTGGGGCTCAGGCTTCAAGCTATGCCAAGAGCCAGGGGTGTCCATGCTGTGCCTGTTACCATGGCCACTGCATCTAGGCAGAAGCCTAGTATCTGACACTATGTTTGTGAGGGTCACAGCGGAGTGGATGCCCTGGGACAAATGTGGGCATTTCTGAGGGCACAGGCCCTTGCCCGTCCTGGCAGCCCACGCACTGTCTCCCCAGGCCTGCCAGTGCCCAGCCTCCTTCCTCTCTGGGTCTGGCCAACAGTCAGCCTTTTGGATGCTGCTGTTGGAGAGCCAAACTTGGGTGGGGTGTGCCCTTTCCCAGGGCCAGGCCCAGTGGGCTAGGACACAGCCTCTGTCCCCTTCTGGGTGGCCTGCTGGACACAGCGCTGTAAGCCACTTCTGCACGTGTGCCTTCCCTCCCGCAGCAGTGGGAGGGCATGTGAAGCCCAGGCTTCTTGTGGGAGAGGCGGGGTTTAGAGTGTCCACAGGCTCCACCTGCCCACGTGTGGCACATCACAGTGCACATGCATGCCCTTGGCTTGTGCTGCCCTTTGGGCCAAGTGGAGACTGGTGTTGGGGCTTCACCAGGGCTCAGTGGTGAATCCAGAGCTGCTTTCCAGGGGGACTTCATGGGGCAGGAGGAAGTAGCCTGCACTAGGAGGTAGGGTCTGGATTGCTGGCAGTTCTGTCTGCTGGCTGTGTTGGCCTGAGGGCCACCTGTCCAGCAGTGTCGCAGGCTAGGCCGTGGAGCCTTTTCCTGCCAGCATTACCTGTTGTCCAGGAGGTGGTGAGGGTGGGATGTGAAACTAGGTACACAGGGGCACCCAGAACCAGAGCCCCCCAGGCCTTGCCTCTGAGAGGTGGAGCGAGGCACAGGGACGTCTAAGTAGGCTATCCTGGACTCCCCTGAGCTCCCACCCTGTGGGACGCACACGTTCCTGAGGCAGGGAGGGTGTGTGCAGTCTCCTGCCCCAGGTCCAGCCAGCATCGCCCTGACCCGGTTGGGTGCACTGTGGCAGGAGAGTGGCACAGAGGCTCCTGCTAGGCAAGGACAGAGGAGCATCTGCCTGTGACAGCTGCAGGCCAGGGCCAGGTCCTTAGGTGCTGCAATCCTCCAGTCTTCAACCACCGCCCGGCCAGTTGGGGCCCACTGGAGGCCCCACTCTGCCTCCTGAACGAGCGCAGGCCCGGCCAGAGTGTCCACAAGCCCACAGCCTCCACACAGGCCCACAGGGCTGCTGCAGATGCCCTGCCCCACTCTGAGCCCTGAGTCACATGGTCTCTGGGAGGGGACTGGAGTGGTTCAGAGCCCTGTCTTCCAGGCAGTCACTACTATACCGTGGCTTAAGCCAGAGACTACTTCCAGGTCCTCTTCGGGGACCCGCCCCCCCACCCGGCTCCAGGTACAGGGATCTGCTCAGGTGGGAGGCCTCGGAGCCATGGGGGCATCAGGGTCCCAGCATTACCAGCTGCCGTCAGTCATTCTAGGGACCTCTCATGTCTCCCGTGGTCTGCAAGCCACAGGGCCCTGAAGGCATATCACTCTGGAAGTGCTGGTGTCCTGTTCAAGTCAGGAGGACTCGGCCCTCTGTCAGGCTCTGGTGCTGCTGGTCCTGGGGCATGACAGCGGCCCTGAGGAGCAGGACTCTGGCCTCCTGCCCCTTGCTGTTCCAGGTGCTCAGGTCAGCACAGGCCGGAGGCCCGCACTGCTCAGGTGGCGAGGCGGTGACCCTCCACCTGCAGAGCCACAAGGCTCCTGAGAGCCCCAAGGCCTGGCACCTACTCCCTTTCTGTAACCCTCTCTCCTGGCCTTACTGGGGGCAGAGGAGGGATGGCACCCTCCTCAGGTGGCTGCCTGGGGACAGACAAGCTCTCTCCTGGGGCTGCCCCCCTTTCCCTGAAGGTGAGCAGGTCCAGCCTTAAGCTGGGTGTCCACCTGGCAGCGCAGATGGCCCTGGAGCCCCAGTCTTCAGCTGCCCCTTCCCACTCCACTTCTTCTTTCTTGGGGAGTCCTCCCGTTGCCAGGGCAACCATCCCTCTACCTGCACTTCCTCCAGCACCACTGATAACTGAGGCTGGTCCCCTGCAGGGTGGCCCTGGCCTCACACCCAGAGCCACCTGGCCTGAGAGCCCCCTTCATAGGTCCTGGGTTGCTCGTGATTCCAGGCCCAGCTAGGCGGAGAGGGCCAGGGAGGAGTTAAGCTAGCCTGGAGCAGCCTGGGCATGGGTGTGCCCACCTCCCTGCATGGCTCACCAGGACTGGCTGGGACTGTGGGTGGGATCTCACTCTGGCATGGCAGTCCTGCAGGGCTGCCAGGGCTGCGGAGGCCTGGGTGCAGCCCCAGGTCTGCATATCGTCCTTTTCCTTGGCCCTCAGCCAGGGCCACCAGGACCAGGCCTGCGCTGCCCTCTCAGGGTGACCCCAGGCAGCCCAGCCCCAGGTTGGAGCTTCCTTGCACCTTCTGTTGGGGCGTCCCACCTGGTGGACACCTGTAGGATATTCCCAGAGACCCCACAGGGCCCAGGTGGGCAGTGCACACCCCCCTGCAGCAGCCCAGGTGGGGAAGGCAACAGCAGGAGTGGTGGGCAGCACTGGACCTGTGCCTGGGGGCCTCTGGCTGCCCATTCCTTTGTGGCACGTAGTACGTAGCCTGGAGGATTCACTATCCTAAAGCTGAACACCAAGGTCCCAGGAGCAGGGCCTGTGGGGTCACAGAGGCTTGTGGATGGGCCTTGACCACCTGGGCTGCTGAATGGGGGTGTGCATTCCCCAGACAACAGAAACTCTCTAGGCAGCACCCTTGCCAATGGCCATGGTGGGAATAGGCCTGGGCAGGCCAGGAGGCTCCATGTGGGAGACCTGAAAGATGTACCACCCGTCAGCCCCCAAGCCAGTGTCCTCTCTGGTGTCAGGCAGAGATTCAGCTCAGGCCAGGGTACATGTCTTCTGGGGCTCGGGGCTGAGCTCAGAGCTGGTAGGGTCTGTTCAACCTGCTGTCCTGTCCAGTAGCCTAGAACACACCCTGACCAGTCGTGAGGCAGGTCTGGTGTCACACACACAGCCCTGTGGGTAAGACTGACCAGAGAGTCCTGTCCTGGGCAGCCAGGCTGCCAACACAGAGCAGCAGAGACTCGTGGCTTCAGAGACGGGCATCAACCACCCCCAGCTGTGGAGGCTGGACAGCCGGCTGAGGAAGCAATATTGGGCCCTGCAAGGCCCACCTCGCGGCCTGTGGATGGTGCCCCGTCCCTCTTCATGTCTCTTCCTCTTCTCATCCCACGGGGGCTAGGGCTCGGCACAGAAGCTGGGGGACACAGACTCTCAGCCACAACGGGGCTCTGGGACAGGGCTCTGAAGCGCTAGGCCTCTGACGGGGGCTGCTTGGCACACTGGCTCGGGGCACAGAGGCACCCTCATGGGTCCCGCCTTGATCCAGATGACTTTCCCATCACCCCAAAGTTGTCTTAGGCCATTCCATCCTCCTGCCTCACCCTTTCACCCCTCCCCATTTCCACAACCTCTGGCCCCTTTCTGTCACCAGAGATCAATGCACCTTTAGTGTCTGGGTGCAGCGGCCACACTGTGGTCCCCACTCCTCAGGAGGCTGAGGCAGGAGGAGCATTAGAACCCAGGAGTTAGCAGCCTTCTCCTGTGAGTTGGCTGCCATGCAGCCACACGGTCCTCGCTGTGGTCTGAGTTCCGCAGACCCACCCCCCAGTCGGCGAGAGTGCCGTGGGTGGGAGCCACGTGTCTGCCTTCTCCTGCTGACACCTTGGGTTGTCTCTGGCTAGGGCACGACATGGGCAGTGGCCCTGGATGTGGGTGCCCGTCGTGTGGCCCTGCACCTTAGATTCTGGGTGGTGAATGCCGGGTGGAAGGGTTGGGTCACTCCACTGAACATGCAGACTCCCGTGCTCCCCGGCTACGCCTGGGAGTCGCTTGCTGCTGTCCCTGAGGGGTGCCGTGTGAGGGTCTAGCGCCCTGACTTGCGAGAGCTCATGAGTTCTATTGGCTTCCTTTAGATTCCATGACGTTCTCTGCACAGTTGGCCTTGGCATTTAAAAATCAGGGTCATTGCCTGCCCCTCTCCACATGGGTCATGTTTTCCCTTGCCCTTACTGCACTGGCCAGGAACAGACACCATGGTTGCGGATGTCAGTGGGAAGGGCCAATATTTACTCTCCCACGTGATGTTGGATGTATTTTTAATCTTCTTTCTGGCAGATACCTTTTTC